GGAATGTTTTCCTCAGAATAAATCCCACCTGGAAACTAAAGCTCAAATGTGATTCTGTATGAAACACTGAATTACCCAGAGAGTCAAATTCTCACCTTTTGCCAACTATGCACTGTGCTATTCACTATTTATTGGTATTTTAGGGAGAGATTATGCATATAATTTAGAACACAATTAAAGAGATGATAAGTACAGTACTAACACCGTGTTTATATATCACTATTCTTAATTCATAATGACTACATTTTAATACAAATTCCTCTGTGCTTATTCACCATTCCATCTTGCATCAGCATGAACGGTATTATGGTTCTTTTTTAAGTGCCTAACACAGTTCCTGGCACATCACAATGGCTCAAAAAAACATTTGCTGAGTAAATGGGTAGTTCTACCTGATAGTTCTACCAGGGGACTTATAACAAAAAGTACCAGGGAACAGGTACCACAGTGGATACATGTCGATTCTGGCTGTCCAGCATCTGAATGCCCTTCTGCTTTGAGGGAAACCCAAGAAAGATGAGAGGCAGGAACCACCTTCCACTACAGAAGCTAAAGAGGAATAGATATTCTCTTTCTCCATTCCCTGAAAGCTAGAACATGGGAAGGTGACATAAAGCTGTCTAACTATAACTGGAATTTTAAATCTTAAGATGTAATGCAAACACACAAGGTCTAACAGAGATTATTCATAGCAGATATAGAAGAGTCAAGAATCTGAAGGCATGGCTGTAAATGTCTGAGGGCAATGAAGCCCAGCAGCTTGCTGATGACTGTCCAGTGACCCGTGTCAGCAACATACTGTTTGTATTGTGAGATACAGAAATCTTGGCTTTGCCTTGCTTCCCATCAATCCTGCCCAAGCCTAATTCTCTAATCTTCTTGTCATTTCTGTGAGCTACATTCATTACTCTTTTACTAAATTCCTATCCTACTTAAGTTGGCCAGAGTAGACTTCTGTTGTGTGCACTAAGAAATTGGTACCAGGGAGTAGATTACCGGCAATAGTCTGTTAGGTAATTAAAGGCAATTTGAGGTTGGTTTATGGCCTAGAAGAGGCCAGTGAATATCATATTAGTGTTCATGGAAGAGATTCTTCAAGTCCTTGACATGGAGTAGTGAAATAACTAATTATCTCTTGTGGTTACATGGAATGCTCTAGGAGACTGGAATGCTCTACTGCTGCCAAGAATAAAACAATATGAAGGGCATGAAGAATTTGACTATGAAGCAGAGCATCAGAAGATAGCTTAAATAAAGAGCATATTAAGGTTGAGTCTCTATAAACTAGGCTCAAGACATAGGGTGAAACCTAGGTACTTTTAAGAAAAGAGTCTTTTCTCTCTTACAACAATAAGAATTGAGGTAGCTTTAAAAACAAATGCACAAGGTTTGATGCTCCAGGTTGCTGAATTACGGATCAGTTAAATTTGCATCCATATTGGAACTATTAGATGAAAATTGGAGCATTGTTTGGAAAGAGAGAGAGAAAGAAGGAGAGAGGGAGAGAGACAGAGACAGAGAATATGAACAGGAATAGAGGTATACGGGTGGATTCTGAGGACTTGGGAGTATCCTGAATCCCTAATCCTCAGTTAGGCCCCCCTTGCTAGCTGGGTCTAATGAGACTGTTCCTCTCTTTCTTGAAAAGGCAGTAAAATCCTGCCTAAGAGAATTACCTTGCAAGAGTAAACTAATTCCCCATTTGCTTCATCCTTCCATATATATACTCTGCTCTACTACCATCAGACCACAGCATGCTCTGTGGGGTTAATTACAAAAACACCAAAAGAATTATAAGACTTGGTCATTTATATGGACAAAAATATAGGAAATAAGTACAGTAATAGATCCTGAGTGTGTTGACCAAAGAAGGAAAAGCAATCTTAGATCTATCCAATTTTGTTGATATAGGCACATCACCAGAGATTCTAAATTCAAAAAGCTAGGTTCAGTGGTTGGGTTCAAATTTTTGTCTGGTTGGCTGATTGGAAATTAGAATCAATGGTGGTCAATGCTAAAGGAAGCTGAGATCCCAAATTTGGGGGATAATGCGAAAGGAGGAATTGAAAAACTTCAAGACATAGGAATGATGGAAATTATTGTCACATGTTAACCCTTCACCCATTCTCCTTCTATGAACCCTAAGAGGACCTAGAAGACACTTCATTTCCTAAGACCTTGAAAAATACATTAGTGAGTAGAGCACTCACATCTTTGAAAAACATTTTTTTTTAAAGTTTATTGTATTTATTTATTTATTTTTTTGTGTGAGGAAGATCAGCCCTGAGCAAACATCCACGTCAATCCTCCTCTTTTTGCTGAGGAAGACCGGCTCTGAGCTAACATCTATTGCCAATCCTCCTCTGTTTTTTCCCCAAAACCCTAGCAGATAGTTTTATGTCATAGTTGCACATCCTTCTAGTTGCTGTATGTGGGACGCCACCTCAGTATGGCCGGAGAAGCGGTGCGTCAGTGCGCGCCTGGAATCCGAACCCGGGCCGCCAGTAGCAGAGCGCACGCGCTTAACCGCTAAGCCACAGGGCCGACCCCCTGAAAAACATTTTATAGGCAAGGGATGCTGGCAGGAGACACTGAAATAAGGCTGCCCATTTCAGTTTCAAAAAGGATGGATGAGACCAAGCAGTGAGATCTAACCACTACCGAGTGGGAAAGTAGGCATAATTACATAACTAGGCATCAAGGCCAGAGTGGTAATTAAAATACCTTGACTGCCTGAATCTTTTACAGTAGCTAATCAATCACAGAGTCTTTAGGATTAGAATAAATAAGTATCTCATTTCAGGGAGAGAGAAATACGTTTTCACTTGTACAAGAAATATATTAGGGCAGGTAAGAATAATTTTTTTAATATAACTATGGGAAAAAGTTATATGTATAGATGCTGGGTAATCCAAGTGGCACACTATAGCAAATGTTCTTTTTGCTGAATTTTTCCTATTTGAGGGAAAGTCAAATTAGGGGAAGCAAGATTCTACCTCTCACTGCAGAAGCCAAAGTAGAGGATATAATTCCTCTCCCTATCTCCTGGGAGACAAAGTGTGAGCACATGCCCTAAACATAGCCAATCAATTGGTCAGATGCAGATTTTTGACTCTTAGGGAATGAGGCAAAGGTCAGTGAGAGATTATTTTCAGCACTGATGGGGGAATCAAAAGTCCATGACACGGCTATCCAGGGCTAAAATCCAGCACTGTAGTGTCTAGAGATGACAGTGCCAGCAGAGATAGATGAAACAGACTATGAGTTGAAACCTTGTCTGTCTGAGCTTCCCTTGGTTCCTGTATGTGTCTGGTTCTTCAGTATGTCTAATAATTCTTTTAGTTTCTCAATATCCTTCCAATAAATTCCTCTTCTGATTAAAGATGACTCCTATGACCTGCATTCAAGAACACCAACCAGTACAGAGGCATAAATGCACTTTAGGATAACTATGCCATCAGGGACAGAAAACAATTTACTGCATATATATATACTACCTCTTGTAGCAGAATGGAAGTAAACTATAATAACAGACTTATGCTCAAAGCCAGAACATTTACTTCTTCCATTAATGTTAGATTGAATCAAATGAAACTATAGATATTAGACCATTTTTTACCTAAAAAAAACTTCATGCATTTAACTTAATATTTCTGGGTTGTGTTAAATGGTATAGTAATATTTATTTCTCCCTACTTGGCTGCTCTTAGCTAATTTTAAAATGTTATCTTCGAAATCCTTACTTAATTTGTCTAATATTTTTTAAATGCTTAGGCTTTAAAATACTACTAATAATACCACAAAATCTTTTATCCAGCACTGGTTGAGATTTACAGAGTGTCAACCCCCTTAAAGCCTGTAAATAATAGAAAACTTCGGGGAAAATTAGATATGTTCAGTAAGAATGAATTAGAATCACAGAAATTTGTAACCAGAAGGACCAACTGATTTGATGCACATTCAGTCCTAACTTGCATCCTGTTTTTCTGAAACTCCTCCTGTCAAATGGGATTTCATATTCTTTTTTTTTTTTTTTTTTTTGGTGAGGAAGATGAGCCCTGAGCTAACATCCATGCCAATTCTCCTCTTTTTTGTTGCTGAGGAAGACCAGCCCTGA